CTCTTTCCTTAAGTAGCCCCCAGTTGCACATGCCATGTTAAAAGATTAAGTCACTAAAAGGGCTGAGTCAGCCATAAAACTAAGGATCTTGATTCCATGACCTTTTAAAATATGTGCTCAATATTCAGCAAATATTTAGTAAGCATTTACTTACATTTTTAAAATACTGAAATGTTCAAAAGCTGGAAGAAGTACCCTGTTAACATATGCTTTCTAGGTAGGTAAACAGTAAGTGGCATAATTTAGATCATGGTCTTTTTTTTTTTTTCTCTTTTCATTATAAGTGCCTAAATCACCTACACACATCAATTATAAAATTGTTCTTTCTCCTTCATTTTCAGGTGTGTAGAAAATGGTACAATTTTTTTATGGTATTTTGTAGGTACATGAGGTATGGGTAGTTCAATCTCTTAAAATTTAGACTTTAATAGAAATACAAAAGCATATTGTAATTTTTGGATATTGTATCTAGAAAGGTACCTAGATTTGTACATTCAGTTTGAGTTGCAGCGACAAGTAGTTTTTCTTAACACCTCACTGGAATCTCTCTAGGATTTGGAGAATTCTGCAGAGGCTTTATGATAGTATAGCTCAAAGATAGTATACCAAAGGCATACATTTATATATCCAGGAGTTATTTCTAGAGATTGTTTCAGTGTAATATTCTTGTAATATTCTGGGTAGAGAGTTGTTACTGGATCTGGTATTATACTAGAGCTACTAAAAGTTTGGGAGATTTCCTGGTGGTAGTAATTATTCTACAATACGTTTGTCTTCTAAGGTAATATTCAGGTGGGTTCTTAGAATGAACACATTCCTTTGTGAGGTGAACTTTAGAATCATCTTTCTCTCCTATGCAGTGCAAATAGGAAAATTGACCTGCATTATCTTTGAGTTGATAATGACAAAAATAAAGTACAGTATTTTTTAATCTAAAGCAAATTCTTCTAAGAAAGTTATAGTAAAAAATTGATGGATATCTTTGCTGGAATCTAAAAAATAGCTCATATTCCAGGAAAAAGAAAGGCCCAAGAATCATTTCACTTTTTCCTTCCTAACCTTCTGACGCTACTTTTTTTATATGCTCAGCACTTTTAAACCTTTTTTTTCTTGGTTCAAGACAGTTTAATTCCAAACCCTGACTATTTTCTTTTGTAACTTTAAAACAAATTGCTTTGACGTGACTTTTTGCTTAACACATATATTTATAATAAGTTGAGACCAAACGGACAAAGTCTTGGGCAGGTAACATTTGTGATGTGTATGTATATAGTGGAACAAATGTAAAAGGGTCGCAAGGATTAGAGTCATAAAAAACTGCTTGATTTATAAATGCATTACTTCTGGTGCTCTATATAATGGGATATATTGAACTAAAAAATTTGTATATACTGTATGTCAGCATTTCTTAGTAACTTCTCTTGAATCCACTTTTTAATATCTAATATTGTACAGGTTGGGGAGTTATATTGGCCAATACTATCCAGACTGTATAAATTTATAAAATAAGTTGAAAAATTCATCATTCCCCTGTATTCAAGACCAAAGCACATAAATGCTAATGTAGGGCTCAGAGGGGAAATATATTTCTCCTGAATATTTGAGAAAATGTGAAGTCCTTTCAAGAAAATCTAATAAACATAATAATCATAGCCTGCTGACACTAAGGAAAAAGGACCTTATTCACTCTTTCTTTTATGCAGCGATTTACTGGTCCCTCCTGATTTCCAAATTGGATCACTATAGCAAATTATCTATGCTGGTACCTGTGAAAGTAAGCCCTGGGATCCATATTTGTTTTGTGTTCTGCTTAAATCAGCAAGTATGATAAATTTGATGGTGTGAAATTGGAAGTGTCAAGGGCTTTCTTTGGTGATAGAGCAAAATAATGTCTCCACTTGTAATTTATTGTGCCCCTTTTTCACTTTCTGTGCTTTGTGTACCTAATATTTATTTCAATACAAATTAAATTGTTCCTTCATCTGTATTGTTATATCTAACATTTTATTGATGTAAAAATCAAATTGTGTAATAAAAACCTCTGGATTTAAGGAGATTTGAAAGTGTTATGTTATAGAAAACGTTTACAGTTAATTAGAATTAAGCTTTCCATTGTGCTTCACTGTTTTATTGTTAGAAATAAGATGAATTTGAACATTTCTGTTGTCCTCAGTTCATCACAAATAATAGGAACGGTGTAATTTAATGGTTTAATATGAAACTGGAAAAAATACGGCCTAAGGTGTAACTGGGAAAAAAATTATAGTTGATCTCCCAGCTGTTTGCCTGCTTTTGCTTCTGTATTTTTTTGTTCAGTGAAATTTACAGCCTAGTGAATTAGTTATTTATAATCCTGAAATTATCCACAATATAGAGTATATCCAAAGTCATAAATCAATGCAAGATAACAGAGGAATATATTTCCCTTGAGGGTGTTTATAGAGTTAGCAGATATTTTCTGTAGCAATTTTAACAGCTTGTACTAAGCAAAACACCATTCAAACAAGTTAAACAAATCCTTGTCCGTTTAGAGATTATAATCTTGAGGCATTATGAAAATCAGTTGTATAAAGGCAATTCAGATAGGTGATTAAATATTGAATTAGTAAATGAGTTGTCCACATAAGGGGAAAAGTGTATAATAGCCTTATTAATAAACAATATTAAGAAAATTGATTTTCTAAAGGTATAATGGTATAGGGTCTTGGTATAATGAACCAACATATTTCTATATTACCAGCCTTGATCCTCCACCATGCTTTATCCTCACCTCCATTCACTTTTCCTTCTGGTTTAAATAATTTCACATTTTATATCAATTAGTAAAATTTTTGCTATGTCTCTAAAAGATAATCCTTTTTAAGATCAATGTTAAAAAATTAGTAATTAACATAGATCTTTTAGACTGGATGCCTAGAAGTGATTGACTAAAAACACTCTGGTATGAAAAGGCTTACTCGATCTTAAAACAAGCATAAAATGAAGGGAAGGTTAAATTCTAGTATTCAGTAAAAGGAGACATTTCTCTCTATATTGCTGCCCTCAGAGAAAGACAAACTACCACCCTCATGGCGAAGTGATAGGAAGGGAGATTTTGCTTTCCGACTCTACTATCCTCCTAAAAGAGATAGTGTATCCAGTGATTTTTCCATTGAAAACATGGGAGCGTGGGATTTTGGTGGCCTTACCAGAAACTTGGGGCAAGTCAGTTCTTCAAAGGAAGGGAGTGCTGTTAACCAAAAAAGGAGGTAAGTAATTTGGTGCGATGCCTATAAATTAAGAAAGAAATGTAGTACTAGAATCATTGTTCTTATTAAATTGCCTTTAAAACTAAACATTT